GGGGTGACGTCACGCAGCTCAGGCTAGCCATGTGCTTGCTGCTCATGTGGCCTTAAAAGCTCAGACAGGCAGGATGTAGGGAGGAAGGGAGGGGGGAGAGGAGGGGAGGAGCTCTTTATGCATCGAGGCTTATTTTTACAGCCACGGCTTTCGCAGCACCACTACAGGCTCAGGAGAAAGCCTTCAGGAACACGATGTAATACCGTTTAACGTAAAACAAACCAAACCCCCCATGTTCAGCTCTGTTTACACGAAAACACAAATCGAAAACAGCTAAATCTATTTGCATGTAAGGTTCCTGGTCAATTAGTTGCTGGGTCATTTGGACTTGAAATGGAATGACGAAGTGAAACTTGAATCACGTGGCAGTGTTAACACCACCATGATTGCACATATTCAAGTTGACAGATGAACAGGCAAGACAAATCCAATGTGATGCGGAGCCCAAAGCCTCACTCAGTGTTTTTTGTGAACGGGCTGCTTCTCTGCTGCCAAAAACCGGAGGAGAGCGAGGACGGGAGTGTATGCAGGCAGGACACGCGTCTGCACCACCCATGTCGAGAGGAAAGTGTGAACACGCGCTTGGTTTTGGCTTCCCGTCACCTGAACTTCCTTTCTTTCATATCCCTCGTCCAGCTCGGCTGGTGATAGGAGGAAAGGAGAGGCAGGTCATTCTGCCAGTCCAGCACAACACTTTTAAAGCGGTGTTGCTTCATCGCACAGAGAGAGAGGGGGGGGTGAAGCTCTGCACCCACGCTGTCCTAGTTTCTCTCAGTATCCACGCGCAGAGAGGAATAACCAGACTGCTGCTTCTCAGAGCATTAAAATCACAGGCACGCTGCTCTCTGCTAAATTTACATGAGTAAACAGTTATATAAGAAGAAGAAATATGTACAGGGTTAGTTCTTTCATAGAGGCCTTAAAAGCTCATCAGTGTGCACACCAAATAGCCTCTTACTACTGAGCATAACCAAATACGGACTTCATTATTCTGTAAGCCAAACATCCAGCCCCAGTCATCACAAGACAAATGGAAATACAACTAGAGACCACGTCGCGTGACCCATCGTAGAACGTGGCTTTCACTTAGATTACAGTAACGCACCTGCATCGTGCACGATTGTGATGCGACAAAATCTAACGACAGGCAGAAATATAAACACCCGTCAAAGTACTCAAAGCCAGTTCTGTGGTAGTTCCCACACGTTGCCGTGATAAATCAAATGTCTCCGTCGCTGCTGGTATTAAAAACAACTTGTGTCTCGTGCCACCCTACAGTGTGCATCTATAGGAGAAGAAGAGAAATGATCCACAGCTAACACTATGACACACTCAACAGCACAGTCTGTCTGAAAGAGTCAAACTAGGCCAGTGGTGGACCTTTGCACCAGCTGTTTACAAGCAGGATTCCTGCAGGTGAGCCATTGGCAGACAAAGGCACATGTTCTAAATATCAAACAGTGTCGCTTAAAAATGGTATGAATGAGGTTTGAGGGTCCACATTATAGAAGGATCCAAACATAGAAACACAGAAGGCAGGAAATGCAAGAGAGAAGAAGAACATGACTCACTACACGTAATAAATAGGGAACAACGATTTTAAACTTCTTCGGTCAGAGTATTGGTAGTAAATGGTTATTTGGGACAGACAAAGACTACACTTAAGAAGTCAACCCGACATCTTGTACTCTGTGTGCTTTCAAATCCAGTTCATCCCTGAAGAAGCACTTTAACACAACAACAAGGACTGTTTTTGTGAAAGCGGGACATACATAATAGAATAGTAAAAGGAGCATGGTGGAATAAAATACACCCATACGTCACTACCTCTTCAAATTCAGAGCCGATTACGCAAACCCTGAAAATGACAGTCGTGATCGTGCTTCTACTACAAAAAGGAGTCGTTTCCTTTTTTTTTTTAAACAAATTCCCCTCCTGGGAAGAGACTCTAGCTCATATTGCAGTGTGGCTTCAAGATAATGGACGCTCCCTGGTTTAGTAGTCATCGAAAATGCAAATCAACTTGTACGAGCAAGTCTCGGCAAGATTCACAAACACACATCAGACCGGCAATGTGTCATCCAGAGCAGGCGCTCATCGCCACGCCCCCTTTAGGAGGAAATACAATTAACAACGCGATGCCGAACAGTTGGCGTGTAGTTGGTTGCACCAACATGACTCCAAAAAACCCACTGATCACCGATTCGTTCCACTGCCATGTGCATGTCATGCTTCAAGGGGAAGCTTTAACCAAGAAAAGATTTGGATCATCGCCACAGCTGTACTCCCTTTTTGAAGAAAGAAACTGTCGCATATGGAGGGCAACAGGAAGAAAAGACAAAAAGCTGTTGTGTAGCGGATTAACCGAGGCTTTGAGGCACATAAATACAGTATAGCAGTGTCAGCCTATGGAGCAAACAGTTGTACATCAACAGTCAACACATAGCTTAACTTGAGACAATCAAATATCTAAAAGATGTCTGGACAAGCTATATCCATCGGCTGTGTCTGACGGGGAAGACTGAAGAGACATGTACTGCCAATGCTCAAGTTCAGGGAATGTCGCAAACATATATGTATAAAACTAATGTTTGTTTAAGAGATAAATGCAAATGTCAAATGTCAAAATTACAATCCGAACACGCGTCAAATTGACGCGTTGATACCTCTCGGGTCTTCGGTTTTCAATCCCCCAAAATGAGCCGATCTGAGGTATTTGATGAATGCGGTACACAGGCCGAAGCGTCGAGGGTGAGTTGATGGAATATTTTGTTTGACCATGGATGTATAGTTTAGTTGTTTAGCTCTAGGTCTGTGCCGAACACACAACAACCACTCTGTACTAGCGACCTAGACTCGTCTTACCTGGATGTATCTCAGCGCACTCCTCAGCACGCTCAGATTGGAGGTCTTCTTCTCGTCGATGTTGGGGATGTTCTTCTTCAGCGTCTCAAAGCACTCCTTCAAATGTGCTCGTCTGACAGACACAAAACAAAGAGAGCAGATTTGAGACAGCGGGAAATGGCTGAGCCACACCTGGCTTCATTTTTATCAGCATATGAAAAACACAACAATATTTGCAATTGGTGTTCTTAACTCTAAGCTCAGCATTGAAATTAAACTGCTACAAATAAACAAAACAAAAAAGGCACCAGCCGGTTCCGGAGACAACACACTGTGTAACTAGTACAATATTATTCAAAGGTAACAGTACAAATAAGCTCAGATTGTGCTCTCTTTTAGGAGGCCCTATGGTAGACAGGTTGAACCCACCTGTTTTTCTCAAGCTTGTTATGCACTTCTCTTGTGCCTGCCCTGTAAGAGCACAGATGAGAGCACAGTAAGAATTTGGTGTTTAAAAAGGGCAATGTGACAAGAATAATCTAAATCAACCAAAGAAGAGTTTTCTTGTTGTTGTTTTTTTGCTAGCAGGTAGTTTAGTTACAACGTATCAAAAGATCAATAAATGTCAATAATGTAACAGCTCCACAAATGCTAACTGTTGCTCGTTTCTCTCCATTTCAGATCATTACAAGGCGAATGTTTCGAGTGGTTTTAGGACGCTACAGGTCAAATGTACTATACTTTATACATCTTACACACCGATATACTGATAGACAAAAATTAACACATCAAATAAAACAACACCCTGTTGTAGGCCTATTTCAGTTATCGTGTGAACAAGTCTATAGACGTACCCTCCCGGCCTCTTCTTGTCTAGCTGGCGGCCGTCATCTGGAGGACTCCCCCGGCTGAGGGGCCCGTTCTGTAGAGGGGCCTGCTGGACGACGGGGCCCGGCTGAGGGAGTAAGGCGTGTTGCTGGGGCAGCGAGACGATGGAGCCGGGGTAGCGCTGAACCAGCTGCTGGTGCGTCTGCTGCTGGAGTTTAGTATTGTTAGTTTGGGCGATGAGCTGTTGGTGGTGATGATGGTGGTGGTGGTGGTTCTGCATCAGCTGCTTGTGGTTGGCGGTCAGCACAGAGGCAGGGTGGTCGGGTTTGGGTTGTGGAGAGCGCGGCAGAACGGTGGCAGGCGGAGGGGAGAGCGCGGCGACGGGCAGGGTGGGGGAGCCTGCGGGGTTGGGGGTGACCACAGGGATGGGGATGACGGTGATGGGCATGGAGGGGGGAGGCAGAGAGGGGGGGACGGGCACCGGGCGGCACTCCTCCGCTTTAGAAACATTGTTGATGTGGATCGTCGAGTTGTAGGTCTCATCAGAGCGCCTCTGCTCCGCCAACCGCTCCAGGTGTAGCTTTTCCTTTACGTCATCCTCTGTGGAAGAAACGAGGCAAAGTCATCACGCCGGCGGTGAAAACACCGACTCTGTGTCGTGTGAAGGAGCCACCGATAACAGCAAAATGCCTCAAAGCTGCCGTGTGGTGGGATGCTCTACAAACGGGGTCAAGTTTTCATAAGCGGACGACAACCGAATGTCATCATTTATTTGACATTACTGCTGTGGGACAGAATTTTCTGTGCTTCTTTGTTTAAGGCTAAATGTTTTAGATTTTAATGCATTTTCTTGTGTCTTTTTTTGTTTTAGTGCCTCAAATGTGTGTGTAATAAATACTAAATCCTGTTCAAGCTTCAGGCACACCCTGAAAGAAGGTTGTTGCTCTATTGGAGGTACATCTTGCTGTAATGTAATCCCAGTCACAGTCCACTGACCAGGTCTTGTTGGAGAAGTGGGAGCACACGTCTGATCTACATCTCTACTAACGGAGCCCCCACACAAAGGGGGCCCTCACCATGTCCCCTATGTCCAGGACACAACACGCTGCAAGCTGTGAAGACTGTAACATGTGGGAGGTTAACCGTTACTGGACATCACTTCTGAAACAGCCAATTCAAGTAATCCCAAATTTATGTTCAAATCTATTTTGATATAGATATATATAACCATAATATCAATGACCAAACTGAACATTACAACCTTCAGCTACCTTTTAGTAACTAGTGTTGGTCATTTGGGTTAGGGTGAACGTTTGTAAAAAAATTTAAGTAATTTATGCGAACGATACTACTTAATATTTCCCCGTGTGTACAGTGAGTAGACCTCAGATTACAATCTGTCAGAGTTGTATTGGTAAAGCAGTTAAGAGTTTAAAGTTCAGGTACATTACCCCCTGAAAAAAATACCTTTCCCTAAAGCTTGGCTCAACTATTACTAAAAAAATGCAAATTAGATTTGATCCAAAGCAGATGTATACATGCATAGATTACTTTTTGTCCATACAGAAATACTTGCAAGGACAATGATACATCTAGTACCGCTCTTAAGAACAATTGAATGGCATCATATTCAACAGTCCCACGTGTCACCATCTGCTGCACGTCTATGTTACGTTACCCTGAAACATATTTCCTTCAAAGCACAACAAAGTAGAAAAAGAACAAGATGTTCTGATTACTGTGCCAGACAGCTTTCATAAGACATAAGACAGCAACACACTCGGAGCGCCTTTTTCTGAGAGTAAATGTATGAAGCACTTAGAAAAACAAGAGGATTTTCTATAGACATTATATAACTGCAGCACATAGAGAACCACTGCCCTACTTCTCTCCACACAGTGACCTGCTCTACAGTAGCAGAGAGGTGGGGGGGCTCTGCTCTCCCAATGCAGCATGGCGGGAGGAGCTGGGAGAGACGAAACAGGAGCTCTCACTCTGAGCCTTTATGAAGAGCACAAATGCCTCCATAATAATAAAAAGGTGGAGAACTGCAGGCCTTTTTCCGGAATATGTCCTGCTTGCTAACGGAGTAGCATTTTGGCTTTCTCACACACACATCTCCTTAATGTCCTCATACACGGTTTTAGGTACAAGGTGAGCTTATTTACTGCAACATGCCGAAAAGAAAATCTAAACTGTAAAAACCTGCATGGTCTAGGGTGCAGTATTTACATCTACACCTCCTAATAATTGGTTCACGAGCTTCACATTTGAGGAAGGAACACATTATAGAAATGTATTAAACCTGTGAAGAACATGTGTCCCTTTCTTTGTGAAATCTAATTGGTAGTAATGTGTATTGATAAAACGAAACTATTGTATAGTAACAGTTCAAACAGTACACCATTAATATGTAGTGTTGAATTGGGAAACACTGCACGTTTGTTTTAGCCACTGAGTCGTTATGTTTGTCTTGTTGGTAATCAAACGGCACATTTTGTGTCAATCCCACCACTATAACACCGTTACACTGTTTTGTGTTTGTTAAATCTTTGCACTATTATTTAGTTAGTTCATTTAATATTGTTCATTTGATATTATTCTATTTTATTGTATATATTGTGCATTTTTATATTTAATATTTTTTTACTCTGTTATTTGTATTGCTTTACCTGAACCTATAAATGCTGCTGTAGATTAATAAATTAATAAAGTACCTATCTAATCCAATAGTAGTGACGCATCTTCTTCACAAACGATCTCTGGGAGGGGTAGCCCAGCACGCACGTGGTGAAAGGGGCGGGGCCAAACCCCCCCATGCTGTTAACATATGAAGGCGTGGCTGGTCGGCACACGTCATCGACAGACACTCAAAGCGCTCCAAAAGCGACTGAAAGGCCAGGGAGTTTATGTTTTATTATTATATATTCATACAAGACACAACCGACCAGACCGAAACATGTACTCGGTGTTTACAGCAGCACAACGCCGCACACGTTTACGGGAATGATTTAAAGGAATCAGATGCATGAAGGGGAAGCCTGAGAGACACGATGTTAGGTCATCATGTAAAACGAGCTCGGCATTCCCTGCGCCACCGCCCTTCATCTCCGCATGTTTTGGTCATTTGACTTTTAAATGTCTCGAAGCAGCGCGTGAACTGAAGTCCGTCACAAATATACCGAGAAGCAAAAAAACCAAAAAAAAAACCCACAGAGAGAGAGAGGGGACTTTACGGTGCTGTGTGCCGCTTTATTGTTGTAATAACCGGGTCTATGCTGCAGCTTTCAATGCAGTAAACCCCCGATACTGCAGCACTATGTTTATTATTAGCTATTGTGGACACAGCTATGGTTCCAGGTGGAGACACAACAAGAGGGGACTAAATCATGCACCGCGTCTGCACACCATAACGAATATGAAAGTAAAAGTTAAATGTCCCCGATTCACTCACATTCCGCTCAGTAGTCGGTCATATTTATATTTAAGAGCAAAGAACCCGTGATGTGCATTTTCGTGATGAGTTAATGAATGGCGCTTATAAATCAGGGTTCGTCTGTAACTCGGAAAATTAAAGGAAAAAAAAAATCACTGAATTGTTGAGTATTTTACAACTGCGACCTCACGGGTACGGATGTTGTATATATTTAGAATAAAATCCAACTTACCACGTGCTTTCTGTTGTTGCTGGGCTTGCAATTCCAGAAACTTGGCCGCTTCCAAAAGCGTTTCGATGCTCATTTCTGTCCAGTTACAAACACTCTGCGGCTTCTTCTATTGCGTTAAAAGGCGACGAAGCGAATGCACTACAGGGAGAGGGAACAGACGAACGCTGGAGGGAAAAACTGGGTAATCGGATACCCCCTCGGTAGGAACTCTACCACTTACGTAGAAGAGTTACAAACAAGATGGCGCTCAAAGTAGTAGGAACAAATAAGGTTTGTGAATCACGCACAACCGTATGTAACCGCCCACAGAAAGCACGGAGCTACCGCGGACTGGATTAACAACCGTGTTACAAAACTCCACGCTCCAGATGCGCACGCACACACACACGCACACGCACACGCACACACACACACACACACTAACGCGTGGTGCTCAATGCGTGGAAACGTTAAGAGACCGACAGCCGTGACTGCAGCTGATTTACATCTCATTGATGTATTGTTCAGAGGGAATTATTGTACTTTTTTACTCCACTATATTTATTATTATATTTTATTACTTTTGTCACTTATACTATGGTACTTTTACTTACAATTGTATGCACGGCTGTCACTTGTAACAGAGTATTTATACACTGTGGTATAGCTAATTTTACTAAAGTAAAATAAGTGAGTACTTCTCTCACCATAGGGCAGGATATTAAGGCAATAACTGCAACTTCATTGTTATAAAATGTATGATAGTCTAAAATAATCAAGATATACAGTATTTGGTCTGGGAATACAAATATAGATAAGTAGATAAATAAACATCCTCAAATTCCTTTTTTTTTTTGGTCCAGTCAAAAACCTAAAATATAGTCAGTGTACAATGCTGTGAAAGATTAAAACAACAAAAGCAGAACATTCTCACATTTGAGGGGCTGGATTATCTATTATTTCAGCCCAAAATGGCCCAGGAATAGCCAGACTATTGAGACACACACACACACACACACACACACAAACTCCTGATATAACCGAGGGTCATGTAGTACGAGTAGGAACTAGGCTGCTGCTTGCAACACACAATGGCCCTGGATATTTAGTTGTCTTTTCCTGTTATTCACTCAGCTCTGGTGAGGAAGTACGTTCCCTACAACAGAGTACTAATAGTGGCCCACGATACTAAAGGTTCTCCAGGCACAGCAAGGACTGAGGGGCTCCAGGGACATCCTGAATCAAACAGGCTGTTTTAAGACCGTCAAGAAATACTGGGATCAACTTCTAAAGCCATTCACAGAGTAAACTTCTCATAAAGCAATAAAAGGATTTAATCTTAATACAAAAGATCATGACAGGAATATCGTCCCTTTTAGAAGAAAAGCAAACACTGTGCTCTAGTGGCCATTTAAATGTACTGCATCATAAAAAAAACACTGTATAAAAGCTGCACAATGAATTAGAAAACATGTTAGAAAATTTACACATTTATTGCAAATGTTTAAAAAAATCCGAGCACAAAACACCAATATACAGTATGTACTACCTGAAAAGGTAAATGGACCAAGTACAAGGACATTGTGTAAGCTACTGATTATCAACTGGAATATACATCTCCAGAAGTCAATAATCAATAAAGATAATATTTCTGCTCCTTTAGGGCTTAGCGACAGACCGTAACAGGGTGTTCTTCAGGTACGTGCACAGCTGGTTCATCAGGTCTTTGCTCTGACCTTCGACCCAGTGCATCTCAATCACTACATCGCTCTCCTCGAGCATCACGTTCAGCAGACACTTAAACAGGAAGTGCTGGACTGCAGCCGGGCTCGGGGGTCTCTTAGCGGGCGGCTCCCCCTCTGCAGCAGGTGTTTCCTGTGGGACCGTTTCCTGCCCTGCGTCTGTGCAGGTAGAAGACGTCACGTCCACATCTTCCCCCGGGAAGTTTCCTGAGACCTCTTTCTGTTCTGCTGTCGGGTCACGTGTTACATCTTCCCTCGTCTCATTTGAAGGGGCTCCATTTTCAATCTGCTGACCAGCTGGCTCTTGTGCGGACGTCGTTATGCTTGGAGCGCTCTCATCCTGGCTTTTGCTCTTTCGTGTGGAGGCAGACTGGTTCTGAGATGCTGGTGTTGTTGTTGCAGCAGCAGCAGCAGCAGCAGCCAGAGTGGTTTGAGAGCTGGTTCCAGCACAGTGAGGCGCTCTGGGAAGCTCTCGCAAGTGACGCGACCCTTCGCGCCGCTTCTGTCGTCCGTGGATCCAGGTGTTCTCCACAGCTGTTAGAAAGAGGCTCTGCTCCTGCTTTCTGCACGGGACGCGCTTGTGCAGCACCTGCAGAGTCACATGAAGACAATCTGACTAATGATGATGTTTACTGGAGATGTGTGATTCCTGTCAAAAGCACCCAATTCCACCTCTGCAGTTTCACCAGATGCAACTATTTATTGAGTATGTATTTGCCACGGGAACTAACTTAAAGTGTCAAACAATATCAGTGCACTCCGTCAGAGACAGACACAGATTGAATTTGGCTATTGGCTGATCTGGAGGCAGGTTTCATCACCAACCAACGGCCCCTCCCATAAAACCAACGTCTCAGACTCTGCAGAGCAGACTGTGCGGACTTGCTAGCTTAACTTTAACTTTAGAGAGGCTCAAACTTAACCTTGTATTCCTCTTCTAACCGTGGCAGTGCCGCCCTGAAGCTTACCCGCAGGTCACCGAGTGTTTTCATCAGCAGAGCAGCGATGCTGTCCACGGGGCCGCGGGCGGCAGCACCGCCTAAAGCCAAGGCTTTGGCCTGCAGCTCCTTCAGTCCCGCCGCTGGAAGCGTGAACGACAGCGGCTTCTTCACCTTCTCCAGTTTACGCTTCTTACTGGGAGGAGACTGAGACAAAAGGGAGAGCGAGATCAAGATGATATAAGTAAGGAGTCTATAACAGTGTATTCTGTATTTTGCCTAAATGTATGCTTATGTTTTTGTATTTTTCTCACTTCATTCATCTCATACTTTAGATACATTTTAAACTTTACTACATTCTTTTCTTTATTCTAGTCTGTTCTATTATTTGTTCTGTTCTGAAGCTCTTCTGTGTTTTTAAGTGACATATTAAAGCTCCGTGACTCGATTGCTTGAGAAACTCAGAGGATCACAGTCTGTGTATTTGTATCATTAAATGTTTCTGTGAGGAACCTTTAACTCATAATGAAACAGTCTCAGTTGAATACTGATGCCTCAATATAAGTAGAGCAGACTGTTATACATTTCTGCATGTCGTGATTGGAGGGCTAATATCTATGAAACATTTTAAGTACACTTAACCTTATTCACGATTCGGCATTTATGAGGTAGCATCCAGAACTTCTTCCAATATCCTATATATCATTCACAAAACAATTACGAAATGCCATGACACACGTAGACTGATCTTATGAGCCGATACCTTTTGCTGTGATGAGTATCGGCGATCAAACAGAAGACGGATGTTCGTTACACACCACAAGAGGGCGCTCAAACCCCACGAGCTGCTCCTGAAACACTTGTTCCTTATTTCTAATCCCCTCTCATGTCACGCTGTGATGGCGGTGGAGGTCATTACCCAACCGAATCTGAATTAAATGCTCGGCAGCGATCATACCCTTCACGTCCACTGCAGCAAACAAGTCAGAGCTGCACTGGTGAGTCACTGCAGGCTGGCAGAAATTGGGGAGACAGCAGGGGGGGGGGGCACTCTACTGTGACAGAGCAGACAGAATGGCCGACTGACCTACAAACAGCTGAGGGAAGGAGCAGACTGTGACCTTCACACTGCTGCACTGATCTGAGGCTACTTTTGAATACTTATTTTTCAATCGTAGTATGTAATGAATATATCTGTGTTCTTTCTCTGAATGCTCTGCAGAATAACAGAGGAATCTGAAATAAAGTACAGTAAATTAATTCACATTCCTGCATCTTAGTTTTCATTGAACAAAGGCTACGTCTTCACTCACAATAACAGCTTGCTCCTGATCATGTATATATTTTTGTTGGAGTAATGCATGTTTAGAAGGGATGGACGTATTGAATTAATGTGTTGACGATGAACACTGCCTTGTTAGAGCTTCTTGTATTTCTTATTGTTTCTCACAGACGTCTCTTCCCCCTTTTTCCTCCACACGCTGCAAACCCTGCAGCTCATTGTACAAGGAAATCAATAAAATCCATCTAGCCAGACCCGTCTCTTTGTACGCAGCATCCTTGACACAGATTCGTGCACCAACACATTAGTGTATGAACTCACACACACACACACACACACGGAGTCAACATGCACGGACACAGAGACAGCCTTACAGACAAAGAGCATGAAACCCATATGTGTACAATTAGACATGAAACCTCCACAGAATCACATCCACTTCTGACTCTGCTGCTCACTCCATTATTAATCCTACTTACACACTCTCACCTCGCTGCATGGTCTCCCTCTCACACACTCACACACACACACACACACGTAAATGACCAGCCCACAGTAAAAGCCTGGCCTAATTTAAAAAACTAGGCTAGTAAAAGCCTACGAGTCCAATAAAAGCTGTTCTCTCCAGATATGTCATTCAATCATCCATCTTGATGGTGAGTGGGCACGCACACACACACAAAAACAAAATGCTGCAGATTTAACCTTCAGGCAAACATTGTAAATCTTCTCCCAACCCCCATTTCCTTCTTGTAAAGTCCCAAAACCCCCCAAGTAGACTCCAGAACTCTGGACCTTCCTGAACCCTGTCTTGCCAGAGGCCTGTATGAGCAACAACACGCCTCGAGGCCCAGATAAAGCCCAGCGTCCTCCATCTACTCTGACTACATGCGCTCTAATCTCACCATCCAGTCTCTCTCTCCCTTTGTCTGTTTTTGCTGGATTTCTTTATCTACATCTTTTCCTTCGATGCAATTAATCCATCCTCTGCATCTTTGGCTCTTGGTAATTAGAAGATCTTATATTATTCTGCCTTTAAAAAGTAGAATTACATGTTGAATTTCTTTAAAAACACCCCAGATCAAAAGCAAAGTACTCAACATCTATATACTCTGGGACAGTACACTGGGGAGGCTGTACAAGGAAGAGACAGACATCAGTATGAAAGCTCGAACGAGATATTGATTTGAATGAACGCTCTATCAATTTAGAAATTGATCTCTGTAACATCCGACTCACGATGGAATCAAAATCGTTTCGACAGAACCAGAGATATCGTCGTCTTTAATCCACACATTCATCTTCCCTGTTAAACACGATACCTACATTACCTACAATGCAACTCAACTGCAGACAGTTAAGACAGAGATGTGGGTAATGTAGCCTTAAACTGGCTTGAGGCTTCTTTCTAACAATTTATTTGTTTCATTTTCATACTTGTTGTCTCCACAGATCTCCGTCTGTAGGCACAAAGACCTGTTAACACACATTGATGTGAAACATTGGTGGAGTTCCCCTTTAAAGCAGCTTCAGTCCATTTGTACCCAGCTCTGTTTTGAGGACGACTTCCTGGACGCGAGATATAAGTCAACCTTGTGAATCCAGAGAGTCAGATTGGTTTATTTCACTTTAAAGACAATCTGTCACCGGTGTGCTTAAATAAAGTCAGAACAGAGCAGACGGCAGGGAGAAAGAGAAGATGAATATAGAGTAAAGGTGTAATAGTAGTAAAAAGAGGGTAAAGTAGGTCACGTTGGCATGCATGTCACATATGTTGTAGTCTATATGTGACTTTAATGAGCACCCCCCCGTGCACATACATACATACATACCAGACGTCCATAGGAACACATGCATGCAGGCAGAATTGGGCAGTCGACCATACAAGGAATTACACATGCAGAAACTACTGTCATGTAAGTTTCAGTATCCAGCCCCACACACACACACACACACACACACACACACACACACACACACACA